AAATAATTAAACGAGAGCTGTCTACACCAAAATAAGTATTAAATATTTGTCCGCACATTCATTCTCTCAATTTAACAACTTGTAATTGTGGGAATTAATCAAACGAGAGCTGTCTACACCAAAATAAGTCTAAAATATTTGTCCGCACACTTATTCTCTCAATTTAACAACTTGTAATGGTGTAAAATAATTAAACGAGAGCTGTCTACACCAAAATAAGTATTAAATATTTGTCCGCACATTCATTCTCTCAATTTAACAACTTGTAATTGTGGGAATTAATCAAACGAGAGCTGTCTACACCAAAATAAGTCTAAAATATTTGTCTGCACACTTATTCTCTCAATTTAACAACTTGTAATTGTGGGAATTAATCAAACGAGAGCTGTCTACACCAAAATAAGTCTAAAATATTTGTCTGCACACTTATTCTCTCAATTTAACAACTTGTAATGGTGTAAAATAATTAAACGAGTTGTCTAAACCAAAATTAATCTCAAATATTTGTCCACACATTTATTGTCACAATTTAACCACTTGTTAATAGTGGAAATACCGGATAGACCGAATAGACCGAATTGCGTACACGTGACGCACGGGTGGAAACTAGTTAACTCGCGCTAAGGAACGTCCAATCTTATTGAGAATATACAACAATCTTCAGCCATTTTCAGTAGCGGTGGCACGGGGGGACCAGGAGGTCGACCCCTCAAAACAGTTTTTTGGGGGTCGCCCTCTTAAAAATCAATCTGAAACCCTTTGTGTCAGCAAAATTTGCCCCTCAGAATGCAGAAAATAGCGTTTCAGAAGGATTGCAACATTTTTCCGGGGCTCCTCTAGTAATTTGATTATATACCATGACGGAAGTTGGTTCGGTATTAAAAAGTACTAAACTGTTATCATCTATACCAGATATATGAGTGTGAATTAAACTAATTATACCCAAATAAGGCGCAGAGTGAGGATACAGCGCAATATATTTTGTTTTATGCAAAGTGTCACACACACTGTAAAAAAGTTGATTTACTAATTTGTGATTGAGTTGAATTTACGTCACCACTAGTTTTGTTGTTGTTGTTGTTTTTTTTCCCGCGACTGCTTTTATCATCCGATGTCATGCATTGATTTCACGGTCGTGGAAGTATAACGTCATCACTAATGTTTCCATCCATGACTGTCGTGGGGTTTAGTAATTATATCATCTCTGAGATTTTTTTTCAAAATATTCTCCCACGACAGTTCGTGCGGTTGTGAATTATATTTTCTGATGCCATGCATGGATTTCATGGATTACTTGTTTCATAATTTTTTGGGTAGAACAATCGAAACAAAGTAACAATAAGCATTGTACTATATGTAATTGAATTATTTGGATTCCCAGCTTTCATTTTACGGCGGGGTATCCGAACTATTCAATATTATTCAGTGATTGAAAAAGAAATACGAACCATAACCAATATTTTGGTCATGCAAGAAACGCTCAAAAGAATAAACACATACGCAAGAAAATATAATTTACGATCACATATCGGTAGTTGGTTAAACAAGTCTCAGTGGGTAATGTAATAACCCCCCAGAGGCGAGTATACTAGTACCACTATACACGAACGGTGACCCACATTCACACCCGTATTTCGGCGTTGTGAGGTCTATTTGTGTTTGTTAGCGGGATTATACATTTAAAATCAGTTGTAAAAACGTCGCAATCCACATAATTTAAAAATATATATAATTATACAGATATCGATGCCGGTCAGCGTCGTACACCCGACTGCGAGAAGCGATAGAACCCCCGGCTTCACAGCGATCCACTGCAGACCTCGTTTGCGTAATTCTGTAAAAAAAATTCTCGTTCTTTTTTCTGAAACCCAAAATACCCGATAGTCGCAATACTTTTCATCAAGAGCTGTATCTATAGTTGAAAATAGTATTTTGTCGATTTCAGTTTACTGAATAATTTAACTTTATTGTGCGTTATTCATGCTTGGGTCTACTAGAAAGCCCTGGTATATCAGGTAGTATTTTTAGACCGGCTTGCATAAATTAAAACTACCTCTCGTTCAATCACATTCGTGCATTTATAGGCGTGACACGTTGGTGAAATAGAATTAATCTTGTCGTCTCTCATATCCAAGTTGATTGGGTGAGATCCGGTAACGTGGAGACGTTATAAATCATATTATTGGGGAACCAGTATTGTAATTGCATATTACAGAGTATGACATGGATGGAGTGTGTACAAATCTTTTGCTGAGCAAGCAGTCGCTGGGTTGGCGTGGCTTGTTAGCTTGATAGCATCGCTCATGTGTGGGCTTCGACGGAATACAAACACAACGGCCAGCACCATCAATGAGGTTTGACCGAGAAACCTCATTGACGGTGCTGAACATCACTTACAATTGCAATTGATCTCACTGTGATGACCCATTGGTTGTGGAATACTGAAAAATGGGCCGAAGCATGCGCACTGCGAACACACAATATGCTAATGACCTTTACCGAGGTTATGACGTAGACATATCTTATGAATACTTTCATATATGTACACGTACGCTTTCTATCATACTAATCTAAAAATTTAACAACTGTTTCCTTACACTGTAGTCAGAATGAGCGTAGGCAAGTGTCAATACGGTCACATCCGTACATGATTAACTATTTCCAACAACGGAACAACAAGGCAGACTAGTTGCGCGTACACTGACGACTAGTGTGTCTTATTGCATTTAATTTAGAGTAATCTACTTCAAGCATGTTTGTAGTGATCATCCGGTACATTGTCTCTGACTATCATTTAGTCACTTTGCCTTGCCTCTACACACTATTTCATTTAAATTTGTTCATTTAATCAAACATACAAACGATGTCATTATCCCATTGCTGAACTGCACTGATTTTCGCTGTTGTTCAATGGTGATTGTGAGAAAAGGACAAGATTTATCATGTGCATATCAGCTGCAATCTTGATGCTCGATTCGACGAACTATTTGAACTACTTCATCTTGTTCGCCTGGGTTAAAATTATTAAATATTCCTTCAACACGCCACCGGTTCCGTAATTGGGTGTGAAATCATACATGCGAGTGTGTTATCCGCTGATTTCTATTGTTATAGCCGTGAACATGTATATACATGTTATTCGGCCCCAACTAGAAAATATCGCGTTATATCACGAGTTTTTAATTTTAATATTATCACGAGTCGTGGCATTATTTTAGTATAATACCGTGATTTAGTTGCTATTGTCTTATCACAGGACACCCTTGACGTCATCTCTCAAAGTATGTCTACTTTAGAAAGTTTAACTCAGGCAGCGTCTGACAGTATTGATAAAGCTGCTACTGAGCTCAATAATCTGAGCCAAGAAATTTGGAAGAAACCAGAACTCAATTTCAAAGAATATCATGCTCACCAAGTATTGAGCGACTTCTTAGAGAAACACGGCTTTAATGTGGAAAGACATTATCATCTGGACACTGCATTCCGAGCTACTTATGGTAATGAAGATGGTTTGAATGTATGCGTGATATGCGAATATGATGCATTACCTGAAATTGGACATGCATGTGGTCATAATTTAATAGCAGAATGTGGAGCTGGTGCTGGATTAGGAATCAAGGCAGCCATGGAAGCTGCTGGGAAACCAATGGGAAAGGTATGTACTTAATCTTATTATATTTTTAACAAATGGATTCACCTAAGAAGCAATTTTTATTTCCTTATTTCTGAACACGTGCAGTTTGTATGGGTACAGGATCAAGGATTATAATGCACAATTTGTGATAAAAGATATCCTTCATTTTTTACATATTGGAAATATAATTTGCATTTTAAAAAAAAGTGGTAAGCAGTTACACATTGTTCGAATGCTTTTATGTTTTTTATATAATTTATATTGTATACGTTATTGCAATCGTGAAAAACAAACCCATTAATTGTTTAATAACTAAAACATTTTTTTATTCACAGTTGACTGTGTTGGGAACACCGGCTGAAGAAGGTGGTGGCGGTAAACTTAATCTGATTGAAGCTGGTGTGTTTAAAGATATTGACATTGCCATGATGGTTCATCCTGTGAACAGAACAAATACTGTTCGCCCGATTGCGTTGTCAATAATACAGTAAGTATATGATTTTATTTTCTAAATATACAGCACTGATGTCTAGCATTGGTTACACATTAGAATGAATCAATTTAAAATTTAATACAAAGACAAAATATATGCCCGTCACACTTACTATGAGTTGATATCGATCTTAATACATTTGTAGTTCTAACAATGGTGCACATAGTAACAGAAACAGTCCTCTGCATCATTGTAACATAATACCATGTAGTCATGATGAATGTGCATTTTTCGAGTGCAAAGTTCACTTGCAATCATTTGCTGAACATTTCCTTCCTCTATCACTTTTTATTTTGCGTGCATGACACAATGTAATCGGGTGGTAGTATTGTAGCTAATGTACAGGTGGGGTGGGGTAACATACATATTTAAGGAATAAAAGTGTGTTACATGCGTGTGTTTAGACTTTTTAGATTGAACTGTTATAAAATAATATTGATAAATTGCGCAAAATGTTGATCGCCGTTAGGCAGATGTGATCCTATCATGAATGAGACTGTAATAAATCAAAGATTTATGGTGGAGTAGTTTCTATAATTTAGTTTTGTTTTTTGTTTCGCGACAGAATGAGTGCGGATTTCATTGGTAAAGCTGCCCATGCAGCGTACGCACCATGGGAAGGCATCAATGCTTTGGACGCCGCTGTGTTGTTTTACCAGAACATGTCAGTCATGAGACAACAAATGAAAACGACTTGGAGAACTCATGGTGAGAATTGTGGGCTTCTACTGGAGCATGTTAATACCTCTCGGTTGCAATAGCAGTTGTTGGATCAGACTGGTGATCGGTGGAATTCAACACCAAAACCGGCCAAGTTTGCCACATACTAGTACTTGTTGGGGGTATCAAAACTACTATTGAATGCGACTTTTTGAAACCATGGTTAAGGTCTCAATGTGATCGATCTCTGCCAGGTAGCGAACGGTATAATGCTTTAAATGGAATTTTGATAGGAAGATAGCCATAACAGCCCTGTTATTTAGTCTCAAACATGGAATATGGTCTTTCATTTGCAATTTACACATACAATCAGTCAGGTTAATATTTAACAGTGACACTCCGAAGGAATTATGTGATAATAGGACATTTAGCCTGAATTAACGAGACTTTGACGTGAATATTGTATAATTAATGATGCGTGAACATTATATAATTTGTATAACCTCTACACGTTTATTCTGTAAATATCTAAACACCATAATAAAACTGATAAAAACACACTCAGAAACAATTGATATCATTCATCGTTTTGATTACCCCTTTTGCATGAAATTACTTCCAACATCAAATAATAACACATTAATAGAAATAAACTGTTATCATTGTAGGGGTGATTACAAATGGTGGTGTCAAGCCCAACATCATACCTGAGAAGACAAGAGTTGAATACTATCTACGTACACCAACTGTGTCTGAACTGCAAGTATTACAAGGGAAAGCCAAAAGATGTGCGGAGGGGGCTGCACTGTCAACAGGATGCACGGTAATATTTTCCTGCATATACCTTATATGACATTTGAATTCCAGAGTACGCAGCTCCACGATCGTCTTCATATCAGTATCCTTCTTTATATTTTATATTTTTAATGTTATATATTATACGAATCATATTTCCAACTATAAGTGAAACATTTTAATTACTAATAATTGCCTAATTGCAAAAGGAAGATATAAGTAGATTAATATTTTTGCTCTCTGATCTAGGTGGAATGCAAATTCCATACACAATACAATAACATCGTCTCGAATAGGACACTGGCTAATATATTTCAATCACATGGTGAAGCTCTCGGGGTGAAGTATATTGCAGGTAATATAGCAGTTGGTTCAACCGACATGGGAAATGTGACGTACGAAGTACCAGGTATTCATCCAATGTACGG